GAGAGAGAGAGAGAGAGAGAGAGAGAGAGAGAGAGAGAGGGCAGTCACAGAGAGAGAGAGAGAGAGAGAGAGAGAGAGAGAGAGAGAGAGAGGGGAGAGAGAGAGAGAGAGAGAGAGAGAGAGAGGGCAGTCACAGAGAGAGAGAGAGAGAGAGAGAGAGAGAGAGAGAGAGAGAGAGAGAGAGAGAGCAGTCTGCTCAGACTGACACACTTCTCAGCATTTTTTTTTAATCATGGCCCTTACCAATTTCCATAACTGGTTTTCATACCTGCCCCTTCAAAACACCGGCCAGGAATGAAAACCCCTCCAACAATGAGAAAGAATACCTAGGACAGTTGATGGCCAATGAGAGGGTGAGAAAGATCTACCGTCCAATTATTTGCACGTCAACAAAATTAGGACCCTCCAATCCCTTTGCTATCTGCGGCTGAAAAGAGTGTCGCACACACGATCGGTCCTCATTCCTATACCTTTCTGACCGCTAGTGGGACTTGGGCCCCAGTCAGTTCAATGACTATATCTCAAGGCCCTCAAGGCCCAAAAAAACACAATTCCAGCGGCCTAGCTCAGTTGGTAAGGCACGCAAGTGGCATTCAGGTGGTCTTGGGTTCAATCCCCCCATAGGCCTCATGTACCTTCATGGGAAAGCTTGGCCCCCGCCACCTAGAGATAAGCCGGTGGTCTCCCCGAGTGGCATTGAGAAGAGACTGCCGATGTTCATAGGGGGAGGGGACGGGAGGGGAGGCACAGTGACTGGCCCATAGAACAAGCTCGGCCCCGATGCTAGGGGGGGCCGGCCCCCTGGCCGGTATAGCCCACCTGCCGTAGCAGGTATCGCACCTGCTGGTGCGTGCAGCTTCCGAGGGACCATGCACGAACCATGGTTCCTCGTTGGAGGCTTGATCACTGCTGTGGCTTCCCTGTATAATACTATAATGACAATAAGCTGTAGCAGGTATCGCACCTGCTGCTGGGTGCCGCTTCCGCATGTTCCCTCGTTGGAGGCTTGAGCACGGATGTGGCTTCCCTGTAATACTATAATGACAATAAAAAAGGCCCGAAACAGGTTAATTTCTCTCAAAAAGAAAAACAAAGGAAAAAAACAAATGTGCTCACCTCTAAAGAGCATCATCATGAACCTGGTCAAACTTTCCCATGCGGCCTACATCAGGGCTATGAGCACTGAATGTGCCCTTGAATGCGGCCCAATCCGTTCAGGGCTATGAGCACTGAATGTGCCCTTGAATGCGGCCCAATCCGTTCAGGGCTATGAGCACTGAATGTGCCCTTGAATGCGGCCCAATCCCTTTTCAGCGGCCTTTTCAGCCCGATGCTGTTCATTTCGTCCAAACTATACCCTCCACGTTGATAGCCATACCCGAGGTGCTCAATCGTCTTGTTTTTTTCTTTCTTCTTTTTCTTTTGGAGAAGGGGGGGGGAGGGGGCCGTGCGGTCCTCAATGTTTCCTCGATTTATGCATGTCATCATTCCACAGGGGCGATGTGCTCATTTCCTCCCCCCCCCGCCCCCAAGAGATCTTCAATCTTCAAGCAGTCCTCCATTCTATGTTCTTCCCCTTCTTTTTTTTTTGCAGTCGTCAACCTCTTCTCGATTGCGCGCAAGAAGACATGAAAGTGAGGGCCTAGTTGCACTAATCGCCATCCGCCAAAATTATGAATGAATCTGAACGAGTTATCGATCCCGATGCATTCTCATTCTCGGCGGATGGCGAGTAGTGCGAACCTGTACGGGAGTCTAAAAAGCAGTCCTTTTGAGAAAGGAATACAAAAAAGAACCGAGTATAAAGAAGCCCCCCATAATAAGAATAAGAACGTCAAAAAAAAAAAGAAAAAAAAAAAAAAAAAAAAAAAAAAAAAAAAAAAAAAGAAGAAGAAGAAGAAGAAGAACGTCTTCGCCGACATCTCCTTGAAGTTTCCAACGAATTTTCTCTGCTCTCCCTCTCTCCCTCTCTCCCTCTCTCTCTATTTATGTTTCTTTGTTTCTCTTGCTTTTCGCTCGCTCATATTTCTATTTTGTCTACGCGGTCGTCGCGTTGTCTAACGTCTTTCCTCTCATCAGATCGACCCCCCTTCCTATTGACCCCCTCCAACCCCCCCCCCCTCCCGCTCCCTCCTAATTTAATTAACCTCATGACACGAACGAATCCTCTCTTTCTCCTTTTTCCTAATGACTACAAAATAATGAATAGACAATTCTAATCCAAAGTCGCAGGCGTAAGTGAAAATTAATTAACGAAAAAAAATAAAATAATAACGATACAATACGGTCAGCCCCCCAGGGGTGCAATATACACAACACTGTAATAAACCTCAGTGTCCCTTGGTCGCTAGAATACCAGAGGACTCTAGTGGCGGAATGAGATCGTAAATGCGGTCGCATACATTCCCTCTAGCCCCTCAAGTAAGAATGTAATCAGCCAAAAAAAAAAAAAAAAAAAAAAAGAATGTAATCAGCCGAATGCCCGGGTTCCCTCCATCCAATCACCCAGGGGCAGGCCCTCAACTCCCGACCTTCTGAAGCAGTCCCCATCTGCTTGGGAAGCTAACTCTTTTCTCCTCTCTTGCTACCGTTAGTACCTTCCAAACCCTCCCCTCCACGAACACCCAACATCCCCCTCCCCCCCAAACACCAATACCCCCCTCCTCCCCCGCAACAGCAATGCCCTCCTCCCCTTCCCCGCCCCTGCGCACATAACCTCCTCCTGATGAGTCGGTGAAAGTCCGACGAAACAGTCTGTTCAGCACAGTGATGCTTTTTTTCAGTGTATAGCGAAAATATAACAACACACGCACACTTTGGGCAAGATGGTGAAGAGTCCTTACCCTTGAGTCAAATGCATCCTGGGCAGATTGTCGAGATTTAAACCCGCCGCTGATGCGCCGGTGACAGTTCGACGGAACAGTCTGTCATAGACACTGTGTTTGTCTGGGGTTGTGTTTAAGGGTCACGCGGCACACAACAACAAACAGAACAGGTACGGATCAAGCGGAATCTTACATAGATATACTATTGAGGTTCTCAGCCCCTTTGAGCCGACGAAAGCCCCAAGAAACTGTCTTGTTGCAGCCATGCCTTTCCAATTCCACTCCTCTCTCTCTCTCTCTCTCTCTCTCTCTCTCTCTCTCTCTCTCTCTCTCTCTCTCTCTCTCTCTCTCTCTCTCTCTCTCTNCTCTCTCTCTCTCTCTCTCTCTCTCTCTCTCTCTCTCTCTCTCTCTCTCTGTGTGTGTGTGTGTGTGTGTGTGTGTGTGTGTGTGTGTGTGGTTCAAGCGCAGGTTAGCTACTTGCTTGCTTGGGGATGAGAAGACGGTCAGCGCCGGCAACCAGCTTAGCAGATTCAATGATGTCCCCCGTCTGCAGCTGGGGAAGAACTTCCCGCCCTTTGGTGACATACCCGAAGACGGCAAAGTTCCCCTCATCAAACGAGAGCCCACCGAGACCCGACTGACGTTTATCATACAGATAGAAGAAGAATTGGGACGGCGAGGAGTTGGTCTCCGAGTTGGGGTCATGCGCCATAGCCACTGCGCCGTAAACGGACAAAGGGAGAACCGGCAGCTCGCCGTCCTGGACGTCCAATGTAGTTCTATAGAGGGGTTGAAAATCGCCAGCTGGCATGATTTCCAAAGGCGTGGATCGTCGTTGCGATGACAACGACCCCGCCTTTTCCTTCTCGTTCACGTTGTCCGACAAGATGGCATTAGGAGTAACCCTGAGTGGAATTCCGTCGTACGTCTTTCTCTTAACTAGGTCAGCGAAATTGCCAGCTGTCAGAGGGGCAGAGTATCCATCCAGAACCACCTCCAACGTGGCAGTCTTTTGTGGTCCCCCCCCCGCCGCCAGTGTAAACGACCCATCTCCACCCTCCCCCCTCCCTTCCCCCCCAGCTCTCCTAATCTTCATCTCTACCGTCGCTCTACCTGTCAGCCTCGGTAAGTCCTGATACTGCGCGGGAAGCAGAAACGGCAGCCCTGGTGCTTGCAGAAGCTTCAGCTGTGCCAAGTCATCCAGAGCAGACGCCAACAGCACCGATATCCGGTCGGGATCCTTGTCATCAATCGCCTTCAGCAGTCTCGGCAGTCCCGACTCCGGATTTACCAGTTTGTTGTACTGTGCTTCCCCTTTTGCCCGCAAGTTGGCGGGAACGGACTCGAGGATGGCGTTTCTGTCCTCTTCTGTCAACTTCAGCACATCTCGCACGTTCTTTGCCATGGAGCCGTACGGCTTGCGTTGGGGGATGCGGAGAAGGTAGGAGATTTCCTCCAGCTCGTTCTGCATCTTCTTGACGGAGTGATTAACGGCGGGGATGGCGCGTCGTAATGCCACGTCGGCAGAGCGAGGCACTTTCGTGTCGGGGGAGAACAACACCGCTTCCGCTGGCTGTGGTCCCCACCACCCCTGGCACCACCATTCCTCTCCCCCCCCCGTCGTGGATTCCCCTGACATTGGCGCCCCCGCTTGGAGTATCGTCGTCAAGACCGTCGCAACGACCACCTTTGCCACTCCCGATCCCATCTGCCATCCCGATCCCCATCCTGACGTACTACTTTTTTCCGGCAGCTGTGGTGCCGATACCCCGTCCGCAGGCGGGCGAACAGAAGCGCGGCTCTCGGCGCCGCCGCGGTGGTCCGCTTGCGCTCTTGCCATGTGATGATTGTGCGCACGGACCCGCCACGTGTCCTGCTGCTGTTGGCCATCTCCGCGCCCTCCTTCGGACCTCAGCAGCCCCCGGGGGGATCGGTGGCCATTGCGTCCCGATCGCGCCGAGCTAAGCGGCAGAAGACCGCCGTGGCCGACGTGGCAGCGTATCTGGTTTCCATGCACGTGAGGGCCACGAGGCCCCGAGCACCGCGCACGTGAGAGCCACGAGGCATCACGGAAACCGCACACGTCATGGCCACTCCCTCTCCCAGACGTTGACACGTGTCGCGGTTCCTGATGACGAGCGCCCACGAGCGGGGCAGCAGCCGTGGCACTGCTGCAAGCGCACGCATGTCCCACGCTGCACGTCATGGCTGACAGGTCAGAGCGGAGTCTCACCCGACGCCACGTGTACAAGCGCGCACGGGCAGGTAGCCTGGGCCCAAAAATCGTATGCTTGGCGACGGACCCGTTTTCTTAACCCAGACTTTGCGGATCCGGTTTGGTTGGGCAGGGTTTCGAACTCCGCACGCCGCGGACGCCAAAACAGGAACCACCCCACTCTCTGGCCCCTGGTAGCTTCAGCTGGTGGCTCAGGGCAGAATCACACAATCACCAGAGACTTTGCTGACCGAATCTGGCCCTGATACCTGTCAGATACCTCCAGGAAAGTGCGGGTAAGGAACTGCGAGTTTGCTGTGACGGA